AAGTAGGTGCTTTAGACCACTGAGCCATCTCTCCAGCCCCCTACCACTACATATTATTACCTACAAACACATTATTAGCTTTGCTATGCCCTCACTTCCTCAACTGTAAAACAACAATACAAACTACAAGAGAATTCTGTCAAGTGAGATACCATCATCCAACACAGAGTTTTCATTAGAATCCTGAGAAGGTCTGAGTGAAATAATGTGTAAATTGCCTTCCAGGATTCCCTAACACACCTATTTCTGCATACTGTCTCAGTGAAAATAAATCAAAGTAACAGTGCCGCCTAAATACTTAGTAAAACACTCTGGCTTCACACAACATGCTTGAGAATTATTTCAATGTGAAAATAACAACATTTTTTAAAATCCATGCATAGCACTTAAAAAAATAACATGAAAATTCCTGTATTTGCAAAACTGGCATAATGATACTTAAGTACAGCATCAAATGCTTTTCTTGTCACAGAAAGGCAGCTACTGAGCATGTGTGGAAGAAACAACCACTAACCATCTTCCTTGCTAATAACAACCTTGGTTTATTAGGACAGTAATGTGTTTGGTCCTAAGAGATAAATCATTGCAGGGCAACATAGTCATAGCATTCCTTATCCCTTTTGCCAGTGACTGAACTAGCAGCAACTATATGACCTCATTCTAGCCAACAGCAGTTGATCAGAATTCTGCTCAAGGATTTCTGGGAAAGATTTTTCTCTTCCAGTAGTAGACAAGCATATGACTCATTTCCACCTCCCTTCTTGTTTTGGTTGCTGTTGTGTGAGAAATGAACAAGCTTGTTCCAAGTAGGTGCTTTAGACCACTGAGCCATCTCTCGAGACTGTAAGAACTGCAACCATTTTGAGATTTCAGTAACTGCTGAAACATCTCCATTATCAAGTCAATTAGCCACTTCTGGAATCTCTTATCCCAAAATTTGTTAGTCATTAAATACCTTTGTAGGTTAGCCACTGATAGTTGAATACTGTTTCTTCTACCCAAAGGAGTCCTCAATACACTAGCTCCTACATATCTGAAAATGTCATTTCAAAATGACAGTTTTGTGGGACATAGAATTCTCCTTCGGCAGTTTTCCCTCAGCACTTATTACAGTTCTGAGGATCTGGGGTTGCTGAGAAGCCTGCTTTTGTCAGATTACCATTCTTCACAAGGAATCTTCCCACAGCTTTTAAGACACCTTCCTTCTCCTTAATTTTTACTCTACAGTTCTGCTTTACCTATGAGCTGATTTATTTGGCACTTCAGAAGCTTCTTCAATCAGGGGTTCATCTCTTTCAAGTACAAAAATTCCTTATTATTTTGTCTTTATTTCTTCTCTTTTAGAATTCCTATCAAAACTATATTGGGGGGCCGGGGAGATAGCTCAGTAGAATAAGCGCTTGCCTGGCAAGCACAAGAGCCTGAGTTCAATCCCTGGTTTTGCCAAAAAAAAGAAAAAAGAAAACAACTACGTTGGATCTCAATTCATACTGTGTTTTTGGTTTCCATCACTATCTCTGCCCCACATTTTGTGATTAGTATCATTTGTAATCAATTTCATTTCTCTTTCAATTAACAAATTCTCTTCATCTTGTCTACTCTGTTATTTATCCAATCACTGGGTTTTCAAAACTTCAGTTATTATGATGTAGTGTTCTTCTTCCAAGGATATTATTCACTCCTTTAGCTTTTTGAAAATTGCAAATGTATTTCTTTTCAAGCAGACATAGTGGCCTGTGCCTACTGCCCCAGATACTTGGCAGAATAAGGCACTCAGCCCAGAAGTGCCAGACCAGCCTGGAAAACACAGTGAGACTCCATCTTGAAAAGAAAAGAAAAGAAAAGAAAAGAAAAGAAAAGAAAAGAAAAGAAAAAGAAAAGAAAAGAAAAGAAAAAAGAGAAGAGAGGGAAGGAAAAGAGAAAAAAGGGAGAAGGGGGAGGGAGAAGGAGAGATAGAGCTTCCTATCTGGTTGCTTCATAAATTTTTTTTTTTTTTTTTTTTGTATTTAGTACAGAGTCTACAGGGTCTCACTTATGTAGATCAGACTCATAGTGATTCTTCTGTTTTCAGCTTCCCAAGTGTTGGGATTACAGGCATGCACCACCAAGACCAGTCTCAGCTCGGGGGCGGGGGGTGTACAGCATGCCAGGGTTCTCACTGCTGCGCTCTGCCTAAGCAGGCACTTGCCTCATTATTGGTGTATCCTGGAGTGTGAATTCTCCAACTTGTTAGTACTGATTGTCTCACAGCAGTGGTTTTCTTTAACTGGATTTCATTTCAATTATTCTCTATTATACAATGCTCAGTGAGTTGGTCTCTTTGGTTCTCTCTGTCCCCTCACCTGATGTATAAAATTTAAACCAAGCCCTTGGGGGACTTGCCATTCAAGATCTCACCCCTAAATGTAGTGTGGGCCCAGTTCCTATTGTTTGACCAGTATCTCTGATTGTTCCTAGGCTATGATCAAGTCAGGCAAGTTTACTTCAGCCTTAGTTCACATACTGGGAACTTAGTCTCAGTGCATGACTTCACGTAAGGAGCCCAACTACAATCTCCTGATACGGATAGGGCATCCTTTTCCTTTTTCTTATGATAGATTCTTTTCTACCTGGGTACTTAACTGCCTGCATACCTTTATTATAAAGGACGTGTATTTATTCAAATATTCTTCATAATAAAAAGTAAATATTTATGACAACTGATACTCATTAAGGCTGACCTTGACCTTGAAATTCGTATGCCTCAGCCTCCACAGTAGTTGAGATTACAAGCACATTCCAACACTCTTGGCTTATTCATTATTCTTACATGGAAGAAATGGAAATGGGAGAGCTCTGCATGCACTCACCCAGCCGTCGTTGCTTTGACAACAAAAAAACTCCTGACAGTTCATAAAAGCACCTGAAACATATGATTGCACACGCTGCGTTTATAGCAATCTGATGGAAGACGTAGAAGACTTCAGCAATCATCCTCACTCATAGGCAAGATTCTTAATACCTGATTTCCTACATCAAACCCTACATGAGTGAATGAATTTTAACTGCGAGAGAAAAAAGATGGTGAAGCAGGTGTTTCACATAAGCAGGACAAGAATCAATGTAGAAAATGTAAACAATAGAATATGAGGCCAATGTAACTAACTGTAAGTCTTACTGTCAATATTACTCACCAGCAAGATGTTTTTTTATTATCCTAAACTAAAAACAAGGGGCCGGGGAGATGGCTCAGTGGAATAAGTGCTTGCCTGGCAAGCGCAGGGACCTGAGTTCAATCCCTGGTTCCGCCACAAAAAAAAAAGATAAAAACAAGTCAATGTGTGAAACTTTAAGTGTGAAAAAGGAAAACGGTGGTAGGCTCCAATTTCAAACACTTTCTACTCATCTTGGTCTGGTATTCTGGCTGTTCTCTGCCACAAATCCACACAATTTTCTCAAACTGCAGCATGACTGCAGCTTCCAAAATCCAATACAAGATGCAGGTCACTGAAAGTTCACAATCCACTCATTCTCCACAAAAAATTAAGGCTGGCATGGTATTTTGTATTCAGAAAAATAAACCACTTTTGCTTTAAGATCTTGCTAATTCAGTGAAGTCTCATCAGGTTTAAGTCAAAATGACAGAAATCCAAGGATATCTGTGCTATATTTTTTTAAAACCTTTAAGGTGATACAGCATGGGGGGAAAATCTGAGGCTTTACTTCTTTTCTCCTTGATGATACCTTTATAGGAAAATTCCAAAGTTTCTTGCTGACGACATCCACAGATCTAAAACACGACCTTTAAAAATTATAATTAGCTTCGTTTTTTTAGTATACTTCTGACATGCTCTGTCTATAGTTTTCTTCTGATAGTCACCAAGTCCAATTAATCTACAGTCACCAGTAAGAATACCTAATATACCTCAAACGCTTAAGATTTAACTTTGATTTGATATAAACTCTGAAAAATAATTTAGTCGATATTAAAAAGTAGTTATGGGACTGTGGAGATAGCTCAGGGGTCTCAACACCTGCCCAGGCAAGTGCAAGGACCCAGGTTCGATCCCTGGCACCATGTACCATGCTGGGCCCACCCCGGGGCACGTTGAGTTGGCTACTAAGACTGGGGATGGTGGCACATGACTATAATCCCAGCATTGCAGAGGCTGAAAACAGGAGAATTGCTGAGTCTGAGTTACACAGTGAGACCCTGTACCAAATACGATTAAAAAAAAAAGTAGTAATGACTAAGCACTATAATTAGTTCTTTAACCCTTTTATTTCATGTAATATTTGCCATGACCTTATGAAATAGATACTATTGCTATCCCCACTTTATCAAAGAGGATTGTAAAGTTCACAATAATAAGCTCTGGCTCGATTGTTCCTTGTAATTAATAGTAGAGCAAGGATTTAACCCACGTTGGTGTGACTTCACAGTCTACAGTTACTTCTACAATCTGCCTTTATAAAAAAGGAAAAAGATGCAGGTCAGTGAAATCCACTCATTCTCCAGAATGAGGATGGCATAGTATTTGTATTCAGACAAGCAAACCATTTCTACATAAACAACTATGTTTACTTAAACAATTACATAAACAATTATGCCCACCAGTCCTTGTCTTATTTCAACTGTAACTTAAAAGCACTGTTACATTCAGGGCCATGGACTCAATGCCTTGAAGAAAATACCAACGACAAGCTAAAACTTAAAATGGCAAGCAAAAGATGTAAAGTGACTGTCACTTCCCCATATCTTCAATGACATAGTCAGCTGGCAATCTTCAGAGTCATTTTTGACTTGTCTTTTGGCAGCACAGCTGGTATCATCTTTTTTTTTTTTAAGGTTTTTTTTTTTTTTTTTTTTTTGGTTCCTCGAATGCCTTCAGGGCACTTTTGGCCAGCGAGAGAGGTGTGAGGTTCGAACTCCAGCAACCTGAGGCTGACAGCTTTGTGGAAGCAGCCACTTAAAGGCCTGAGCTAGGGCCAGGCCCCCATGGTATCATCTTTTATTTCTCTTCTTTGCTTGATTTCTTGTTGGATTCCAAAGAGTAGTTTTCCAACTTACAAAAAGTTGAGACTAATGTTCTTGGTTTTGTTTTTGGTTTTTTTTTTGCAAGGAGGTAATCCATAAAAACTATACTATGTAATCCAGAATTGGACTTAACAATATAGAACTATGTTTGGCATAACCTTAATCTCCAAAAAATGTAACAAAAGCTGCTTCTGTTATAGTTTGGATCTAGAATACCCCCCAAAGGCTCCTGTTTTGAAGCTCTGGTGCAGGCAGAGGAAACTTTAGGAGGTGGGGCCTAGTCAGAAGAGGGGGGTCACTTGAGGTTTGCCTCACAAGGGTGTACTTTGTCTTTCCTCGCTTCCTGGCTAACATGAGATGAGCAGTTTCCTTTACTGCATGTAACTACCACATAATGTTGTGCCTTACCTCAGACCTAAAGCAGTGGAGCCTGCCAACCACAGACAGAAACCTCTGAAACATGAGCCAGAAGAAATCTTTCTTCCTGTAAGTCATTTTCCTCAGACATTTTGTCACAGTCACGAAAAGCTTATTCATAGAATAGCTGATAATTTTAAAGTGCAATCATTCACTACAACATTTTTAAATGTTAATGTCAGGACATCTCTCTTTTTTTTTTTTTTTTAGGACATCTCTTAAACTAGCAGTATTCCTAAATGATAAAGAAATCACACGTACAGGGCTGGTGAGATGGCTCAGTGGTCTAAAGCACCTACTTAGAACAAGCTTAGCAAAGCACAGGGACTGCGGTTCAATCCCCCAGCACCACATGCCAGCCAGCCCCGCCCCCTGGGGGGCTGAGCTGGCCCCACACACACACACACACACACACATACACACACACAAATAAATATTTAAAAAAAAAATGCACGTACAATCAATCTGGCATGCATATGCATGAACCATCTGTGCAAGATACATTAGAAACTGCTACAGTAGTGATTCCAGATGGCTGAGAGATACAGGCAGAGGACAGTTTACACACACTTTTACTTTTTGAATTCTGAATCATATAAATTTATTACCTACTCAAAAGTTAACAACAAACCTTAAGGAAAGATGCTCCTAACATGTCCTGGTCATTCCAAAAAAATTAATAAACAGACAAAATTAAAATAATGCTGAGGGGGCTGGGGAGCTAGCTCAGTAGAATAAGGGCTTCCCTGGACTGCAAGGTCCTGAGTTCAATCCACAGTATTCCCCAAAAAATACAATAATGCTGAATCCTACTGTTTTTTACTGAAACAAGTTAGTCCACACTGATCAGAAACTATGACCAGCAAATAAAAACATGTATGTCTGATCTAATTAGTGCTATCTTGTAGAGGACTCTTCTCAGTCTTCGTCTAGGTCCAAGAAGCCAGTATTTATAATCCCAAAATTATGTTATTGGAATCCCATCAAGTTGATTCCAATCTACCACTTACAATGCAACCCACGGCGAAAATAAAGACATTAAATTATATTTTCAATCACTGGGGAGTCAAGGGGCTCTAAATCCAGCCATGAAGATGGCTTTCCAGAACCAAGAGAGTGACCCAGGGCCTCACCCTGGCTTTTATTCAGTGGGGGAGTGGCTTGAGGAGGATTGACTGAGAATTGTGGGAAATAGGTGACCCTTGTGAGCTGAGCTAGGTGGGTGGCCTAAATTTACCTCTGCGATATACAGAGAGGTTGTGCAGAGAGAGTAATCTGCATTATATAGTATCTAATGTTTTGGTAAGTCTGGTGCTTCAGCTTTGACATAGTCTTTCAAGCCCCAGGAAGTCATAGCCTCTGTCTCAAGGCTCAATCCCAGCTGGTGGCACGGAGCATTAACTCTGCTGTCCTGTCTTGACCTGGTTCACATTAAAGAGCAGCAGGTATAGGTTACCAGGGAAACACACACACACGCCACCTGCAAAAACTATCACCAGCACCTCAGCTAGACCAATACACATTGCTTAAGGCCAACTGAAGGATAAACAGAAGTCTTAGCCAGCTCTGTACATAACAATACAAGGAAATAGGGTCAGACTCCGTCAAAATGGAGACAGTTGCTCTTCTTTCAAGGAGAGCTGCTCAGATGGTCCTCCACATTATCTGTTAAACAGATAAAATCATACAAACCATAGATAGATTCTTCAAGAGAAAAACAATAGATGTCCCTGATGATAAAGACTGGGAATCATTTAATCTCTCCATAATACTGATTAGGGTGAGGTGAAGAAGGACATCTCAGGCAGTAAATTAACCATCTACCCTGTCCTAGAGCCATGCTGACAGGCAACATTCCTCTTTCTTCTCCTCAGGTTTGAGAACTATAATCACCACAGAAAGGTCAACGTTCGTCAGGTGATGAGCAGGAAATGAATCCAGGAACAGTGCACTGGTCTACATGTATTTTCTTTTCACTTACCCTTCTCCAAGTTTCTCTAAGACATCAAACACTTCTTCTGGTTGTTTGGTTAAACTATCTTCATCCAACTTTTTCAGCTGTCTGTGAATAAAGAAATGACACAAAAAGCAGTTTACTTGCTGGCAAATAAACCATAAAACACAACATTTATCTTATAACTAGCATTCTAGGAATTTCTCCACAAAGTCTTCAGTAGTAAACAACAAAGACAAGCTGAGACACTGAGGACTTGGTTCAGGGTCACCAGATCAAGAAAACCATGACCAAAAAGTAAAGAGCTGCCAAGAGCCATAGTCCAACTCAACATGTCTAAGAATTTTCTAGGGGCCAGGGAGATGGCTCAGTAGAATAAGCACTTGCCTGGCAAGCACAAGGGCCTGAGTTCAATCCCCAGTTCTGCTAAAAATAAAAAAATAAAAAAAAAAAAAAAAAAGAATTTTCTAACAATAGAAGTTGTTTCAGACAGTCTTAAGAGGTCTCTGGGTCCCCACTACTGGAAAACTCAAACAAAAAATGAATTATCATCTGGCTAAATGGTGTAGAGTGGACTTGAGCATTAGCTACATCCTTTAGAATCCATTTAAATCTTTAGATTACACAAATTAAAATGACATAACTACCTCTTTAGAAATTGATACTGTTTAGTTTTTTGTTTTTTTTTTTTTTTTTTGCGGAACCGGGGATTGAACTCAGACCCTTGCACTTGCCAGGGAAGCCCTTATTCCACTGAGCCATCTCCCTGGCCCCAAATTGGTACTGTTTAATGTAAAATTGACTGTACTGCATCATGAATTGGACTAGTGGTCAGGAAAGACAAGGAGCTCTTTCCTCTCTATTAGAAAGGTTTTGGTAATTTGTCAAAACATGTAAATTCTACAGGTATCACAGAAACACAAAGTGGAAAGTATACATTTAGATAAGAGCAAAAGTGAAAAATAATTTGGCAGCTGGAAGTTTCAGTCTCACAAAGACCCTCTCATGAGCAGCTATGTACCCTTAACTAGTCAAAAAAACAGAAAGTACAAGCTGGGCATGGTGGCTCATACTTATAATCCTAGCACTCAAGAGGCTGAGGCAGGAGGATCACTCAAGTTTGAGGTCAGCCTGAGCTGCAAAGTAGAGCTCAAGGTCTGTCTGAACTACATAGTGAGTTCCTGCCTCAGAAAGGTAAAGACAAAAACAAAACAAAAAACAACCAAATAAAAACCAAAGGTACATGACTGCTCACAACTTCCAGAGAGTTCAGATTTTACTGTGTATGCTAGACATTCATAACAAGCATATAGATTATAAACTAACAATTTTTTTAAAAAAAAAGAATTGTTAGCCCTCTGAAAATTAACAGACTTAAAAAGAGCTTGCTAAGAAATTTCTGTGTGTGTGTGTGTGTGTGTGTGTGTGTGTGTATCATCTACACAATGGCTTCCTGAAACTACAAAGGACAATAAAAAAAGAGAATTCAGGAAATGGTGATATATGGTAGTAGTTACACTGGAGATTTGTAAAGCAAATAGTTTAAACTAATTAGACAATACCAATTCTTACAAAACCCAAATTTAAAATACTTCCTAAAGAAAGTAGCAAAATCAAGACAAAAAAAACCACCAAACAAAAAAGAAAGAAACCTGGCCACACCAAGCACCTCTACCACTAAACACTGACCTCACAAAGAATGGTATTACAAAATTTTATAAATATCTAGGGCTATGTCCTAGAAAATGAAGAACTGCTAAAAGTCAACGTCTTACCTTGCCCTAATCTGAAGATCAACAAAACACAGTAACCACACTGACCTTTGAAAGAAAATCAAAAGAGCCTAAAAATTAAATTCCAATGACATCATAAAAACTCCCAGCTTAAAAGGTGCTGAAGTGAAACTCCTTAAACTTCAGAATCAAAATTTTTATGAACTCAGAATGATCATCTCATAGGCCAGGGCTTTTTGGTACAGCACAGAATTAGGTAAGAGCAAAAGTGAAAAATAGAATAACTGTGCAAACAATGGACAATACCTCATTAAGCAAGTACAATTAAAGTTGTATAAAAGGCTGATATAAAGCAAGATCAAAATTTTTTCAGAAGTTTGACTCCTGTGGCTTATAAAAAGCAACACTATTTGAGCTACTATAGAGACCACAAAATAACAAAGGAAACTGTCACAGCCAAGAAAGACAGTTGCACGACTCTGATAATACTTTAACAAACTATATTGACTATTCAGAAGCTTCTTTAAAACAACTTAAGTATTTTTTGTTTTTTGGTTTGTTTGGGTTTTGGCAGAACCAGGGATTGAACTCAGGCCCTTGCGCTTGCCTCTACTGAGCTATCTCCTGGGCCCCTATTTTTTATTTTTGATCTGGGATTATTTAAAACAACTTGAATATAAAGGTTTGTAACTCTGGTACCTGATAACCAAGAGATAGTCAAAAAAAAAAAATATGTACTAACTGCATTAACAAATGAAATGATGAGAATCATAAACTTCTTAGCTATCTCTGTGAGTTAGCAAAATAAAATAGAATAGTAAATAGAATAAAAAGCATTATTAGCTTATAAACAAAGATTTCTATGGAAAATCTTTTGATAAGTGACTCATACTGATATTTTATACTTCATGGAACAAGTACTATTACCAAAACCAGCCCAACAATGACACAGCTTTCTCAGCTGTTTCCCCATGTTCCAGGCAGTTCAACTACTTGCTCATAAGGAGCAGATCTACCCAACACAAATTCATTGAGGTTCTGGAAGCTGTTCCAGTCCTAAGTCAGATGGCCACACGGATGGTTAGCAACCCACGAATGCATCCTAAGCCTTCCACCTGCCATTACCTAACTCACTCTTTACAATCAGTAACTCCCACATAAGACACCAATCAATCATCATTCACCTAGTCACATGTAAATGTCAAACCTGTGAACACAAGGAGTATTTCCTGCATTGCAATTGCTGGAAATGCATGTTATCTGAGTTTCTCCAGACTTTCTAAACACAAACAGTGGTGTTTATGAAGTGGTCAGAAGTCTAATTTTCAGGCCAGGGATATAGCTCAATGCAATGGCAAAGTACCTGTCTGGTAAGCTCAAAGTTGTGAGTTCAATTCCTAGTACCAAAAAGAGAGTCTAATTTTCAAGCCTCTTTCTCCCATCTCTGAACTCAAAAGGCTCATTTTATTCATGCAGATATACACCTTCCAAACAGAATTTTCATATAGCATACAACAAATATGTAAGATCTATTTTAAGTTTTTTAAATGATAATTAAGTGCATCCACCACCAGCAGCCTGTTCCAATTTTAATTCCCAGAATCTTAGAATAGGCCAATTTGGAGGTGGGACTTTTAAAGAATTAAGGTAAACTGTGGTCCTAAAAGCAGGCCTTAATCCAGTATGACTGGTGTACTTAAGAGATAAAAATACAGATGGGTATAGAGGAAGACCATGTGAAAAATTAAGGAGAAGACAGACACATACAAGCAGAACAGGCCTCAAAAGAAAGAACCCTGCCATCACGCTTGATTTTGGCCTTCCAGTCTCTTCCAGAAGCATAAAATAAATTTGTTGTTTAAATCCCCCAGGTGTGAGACTGTGAGGGCACTCCTAACAAACCAATACAAATAATAAAATTCAGCTGATACAAATTAGACAGTCCACTGGCTATAATGAGAAGACTCAGCCCTGTAATACTTTCTCTTACCAATATTATTCTTTTTAATTCAAAATGTACAGGAAAGGGCCAGCCAGTTAGCTCGGCGGACTAAAGTGCCTGTTCAGGCAGAGAGGGCAGCGACCAGGTTTGATTTTTAGTGTGCTGCACTGGCCTAGACCCCAGGGGCGAATGACACTGGGCATGGTGGCGTGTGCCTGTAACCCCAGCACTTGGGAAGCTAAAAACACGAGGATCACTACCAGTCTGATCTGTTGAGTGAGGCCCTGTAGACCCTGTACTAAATTCATCAAAATGCACAGGAAGCTGGGTGTGGTGGCAGACACCTACAATTCTTGGCTATGCTAGAGCTGAGGCAGAAGGATCCCAAGTTCCAACCTATCCTCTGCAACTTGAGATGTCTTGAAATGACCTGGGATGTAGCTCAGCACTCCCTTGGCTCATGTCAAAACACCAAAAAAGTACAGAAATGAACATGCCAAAAACCAAACAACTTTACTCTTTTGCCGAAGATTACATGAGGCAAAAAAAGAAACAAAACTCAGGTTCTTCATCTTCTTTTCAATGAAGTGAAGGCCTCCAAGAAAGAAATCAAGTAGAGCAAACCTATTTGAAAAAAAAAAATCAGCAGTCTATGTTCCATTAATATGATGCTAGAGTAAATATCTGCTAACATACACAATGACCTGTAAAACAAGAGGGCTTCCATGAAGGCATGAGAGCGGAGCAGTTTAGAGAACAGACTTTAGTCCAAACCCCCTGGACAGTGAAATCCAACTGTGACTCTTACTAGCAAAGGGATCTGCAGCAAATCGCTAGCCTCTGTGTGGCTCAGTTTTACCTTCCATAAAACAGGGAGGCAAAGGGATATCCATTTCATACAACTGTGAAGATCCAATGAGTCAATAAGTGACAGAAAACTATCACTTTTACAGTTCAAAAATCGTCAACTATCAGCAATTGTATACGGTTAAAAGGAGACATGGAAAGTACTTAAAACAGGCTTGGCACCCTGTAAATACAGAAATGTAATGATCGGTGCTATTACCATTTGAGCACATTAGACTAAGTAACTCATGAGCCCATCGAAACAAGCTATTTGCCTTCTACAATGTTTGTGCGCTGCAATCAACGCCAAGAGGGCTGCCCAGGCTGTCAATTCCCTCCATCTTTCAGTACCCCGGCATTCTGACACACTGAACACTTCCTACTTCAGGGCTTGTTCTGCTGCAGGAAGTCAGAAGCCTTCTCCGTGAAAGAGAAGTTAACTAAACTGCAACTCAGAGAAACATGACTCTTCTCAGTCATCGGCCGTCTCTCCGAGATAGTGACCAAAAACAATTCCGGGTACCCCTAGGTGCTGGAAATGATTATCACAAAACAACAGAAGCCTGAGAAGGGCACAGCCTAGCCAGATTCATGGGTCTCAACTCTTCTGGAACTCAGTCTGCACATCCTAAAACTTTCCTTATCTAACTGCCAATGCTGGGTTGTGAAGAACGGAGAAGGATGTAAAGAAAATTAGGAAAAGATGCCATCATCTTTTGAGTGAGGATAAGAACACCCTTGCAAACAATATCCTCCAGGAAGCTTTCCAATGCTCGCCCCTCGATCTTTTTTTCCGCACTCCAGACTCAGAGGCAAAGCTTTCTCATGCAACCCATCTTTCTCGCTGCACCCCTCAGTTGGGACTTTGAATCCCGAAAAAGTCTACCCGCTTTTCTGCTTGTTCTCACTCCATTCCCCTAGAACCCTAGACTCCTAGCAGGTTCTTAATCCGGCCTCAACATTCGCCTCCACCTCCCTGAGTTCCTTCTTGGAGCGCCCTCCTCTGAGGGGGGCCCTGGCCTCAGCAGGTGTTTTCCCTAACGTGTCCCCGTGTTTGTCAGCCGAGCGCCCCACAGCCAATGTTCCCTCTGTATAGCCGCACGTTCATCCCTCTCCGCAGGTGCAGAGCTCAGCCGGACCTCCACCCGCCACGCACCCCCCTCACTCAGCAGGTGCTCCATCAACCCGGACGCCTCGCCCCACAGGTCCCTCTCCTCGGCTGGCTGGTTCCCACACGGGGGTTCCCTCAGTCAATTCCCGCCTTTCCCTCCTCTTAGACAGTGGCCCCTCACCGGCGCGGCGGGTTCCTCAGCTGCACCGTCTCCATAGCGCTGCCAGCAGTCGCCCAAACCTTCTCACTTGTCCATCCTCCCCCCCAGACCTCCCCGAACCCGCCCCGCAGATCCTCCCACACTTCCGCTTTCCGCCCCTACCGGAAGCGGAGCGCGAGGGGGCGGAGCCGAGGAGGACGCAGGTTGGATCACGTGTGCGGGGGGGCCACCCACTGGTCACGTGGTTGCTAGAGGCGCCTACCGGGAACTTGAAGCGTAGGAGGCTCGGGCTCCTGGAGTCGTCTGCGGGCTGAGAGCGTAGGCGGCGCTGTTTGCTATAGGATTAGCCTGAGACGTTGGCGTCCCAGGTCAGGAACCCATCTCTCACGTTTCTCTCCATTTTCATTCTCAGTCGGAGATACTGAGACCTCTAGGAAAGGGAACCTGATAAAAACTGATTCTTGAAACACCAAGTCCTACACAGTGAGAGAGGTGCTACACAAGTACGTTTGCAGTGTTTGTGCTTTTCTACAGCGCACCTCATTGAACTCAATGCACAACAACAATCACTCCTTTGTCTCCATCCTGGGATTTTTCCACGTGATAAACTGAAATTATGATAGATCCCTTTTCACAGAATATTCACCCCAGTACTTCCCAATGAAAATTCTTTGTATCCCCACTGCCTAAAACGGTAACCACTATTACAAATGACTAGCGTGGTATAAAATTTTTATGTCATTTAAATTATTTAAATTTAGGGGCTGGTGAGATGGCTCAGTGGTCTAAAGCACCTACTTAGAACAAGCTAAGCTAAGCAAAGCACAGGGACTGCGGTTCAATCCCCCAGCACCACATGCCAGCCAGCCCCCGCCCCCTGGTGGACTGAGCTGGCCACACACACACTAAATAAATGAATAAATAAATATTTAAAAAAAATAAATTATTTAAATTTAACAAGCGGGCTGGTGAGATGGCTCAGTGGTCTAAAGCACCTACTTAGAACAGGCTTAGCAAAGCACAGGGACCGCGGTTCAATCCCCCAGCACCATATGGCAGGCAGCCCGCCCCCTGGTGGGCTGAGCTGGACACACACACACACACACACACACACATAAATATAAATAAATAAAAAAAATTTAAAAAATAAAAATAAAAAAATAAATTTAACAAGCCTCAGCCAATCATTTGACGATTTAGCATATTCACTATATATATTTTGGGTGGCCATTTTATTTACCCATTTTGTTAATCATCACCTAAGGGATATGTGGATTGTGTCAGGTTTTTAGCAGAGGTAACTTTTTTGTAGTACCTTGACGTGAGCTTCACACTGAGCTGCACCCACAATCCTATTTTTTTTTTTTTTCAACTTGAGACAGGGTCTAAAGTTCAGGCTGGCCTTGAACTTGTGATTCTCCTGCCTCAGCCTCCCAAAGTGCTGAGATCACAGGTATAAGCCACAATACTCAACCAGGACATGTTTTTTACTTTTCAGATTTTCAACTCTAGCAGTGTGCCACCTCGAGGCCACATGTATTATGTATTTGGCTTTACTGGGTAAGGAATAGATATAACTACAATGTTTTCAATGGGCTAAAAAACAGAGAACAGAAACTTATTTCTCAGTTCTAGACACTAAAGGCCCAAGACCAGTTCACCTGCAGATGCAAGTTTTTAGTGAGGCCCCTTTCTGGGTTCCAAATAGCATTTTCCTTTTTTATTTTTATTTTTAAATTTATGCATTGGGGAGCCGGGGGGATGGCTCAGTGGAATAAGCGCTTCCCTGGCAAATGCGAGGGCCTGAGTTCAATCCCTGGTTCCACCAAAAAAAAAAAAAAAAATTATGTATTTGGTACAGGGTCTTGCTACACAGCTTGGACTCATAGTGATCCTCCTGTCTCAGCCTCCCAGCGCTGGGATTACAGCTGTGTGTCACCATGCCCAGTTTCAGAGGCCAGCTCCACATGGGGCTGGCATGGCATTGGGTACAGGGATCAAACAGGTCCTTGCGCTTGCCAGGCAGACACTTAACCACTGAACTATCTCCCTAGCTCTAGACAGCATTTTCTTGCAGTCTTGCCACATAGTGGAAGCAGCTGAAGGTCTCTTTTATAAGAACACCATTCCAGGGGCTGGTGAGATGGCTTAGTGGTCTAAAGCACCTACTTAGAACAAGCTAAGCTAAGCAAAGCACAGGAACCACGGTTCAATCCCCCAGCACCACATGCTAGCCAGCCCCGCCCCCTGGTGGACTGAACTGGCCGCACACACAAAATAAATAAATAAAATTTAAAAAACAAGTAACACCATTCCCATGACAACCTTCTGTGACCTAATTACCTCCCAAAGTCCCTGGCCATCTAATTATCCAATGCCATCACCTTGAGCCTTAGAAAGGGTTTCAATATATGACTTTTCTAGGACACAAACACTCATGTTGGATGCTACACCCTTCTAAATCTTGGACAGACAAAAATAGAGATGGCCTATTGCTGCCTGAATGACCTCAGTTTTGGAGAGAAAAAAACTGACAGGGTGGTAAATGATAACTTAGGTATAAACCTAGAGATCAATAGGGAGCAGAAGGGAGATAAAAAAATACATATTTTTTTTTTGTGGAACTGGGGATTAAACTCAGGCCCCCACTTATTCTACTGAGCCACCTCCCCAACCCCAGAAAACATTTTTTGAAGAGATTTGACTTGCATATTTAAGTTGATTCAGGATTACGTAAAAGAAAAGGTTAGGAAAGTATTTCAGATGTGGATAACATAAAGTAGGGTGTGGTGGCACATGCCTGTAATCTCGGCACTGGAGGCTGAGGCAGGAGAATCCTTTCGTTAGACACCAGCCTGAACTGCACAGTAAGACCCTGTCTCAAAGAAAAAAAAAAAAAAAAAAAAAAAAAAAAAAAAAAAAGTGGTAACATAAGCAAAGGCTAACAGGCAAAACAAAAAGATTAGCATGTGCAGATGACAAGAATTTTTTTTAATTAAGTATTTGGTGGGACAGAGACAGTGACAGCAGCTGGAGATAAACTGAAGACAACCTCAGTGAAACATCTTTATCAGTCTATCTGTGCATTCATTTACTAAGTCAATATCCACAGTCCAGAAAGGGCCAGGTCCTTCCACTGTTGGGCCTTTATATTTTCTGTTCTGTCTGGAAAAACATTCCCTACACCTTTGCACGCCTCTGCCCTATTATTACCCATTCCCCCAGAGAGAGCTTCCCAAGCCTCCACATTAAAAATACCTCCCCAGAAGAAAAGAAAAATAGCGCCCACGTGGTCACTTTCTATACGGCACTGCTGCTTTTGTTTTCCTTACAGCACATTATAAAATAAGCACTCTCACTCGCTCGTGATTTGTTTGCCGGCCCGACTACTCCACAAAAGAAAGAGACCTGTACAAAGACACCTGGCTTCCTTCACGACTTCACGTGCTAAGGTACCGATGGTACCCAGGGCGACTGTAGCCGCCTGACGCTCCGAGGGGAGCGCAGGTCGCAAACTGAGCATGCGCACGGCCAGGGGCGCGTCCAGGGGCGGAGGCTCCGCCCCCTCGCGGCCGCCATAGCGTGGGATTGAAGTTGTCCAGTTAGCGCTTCCGCCCGGACCGTTCGGCACCGCTCTTGAGGGAACGAGGCGCTCCTCATTCGCGGGTTTGGCCGGCATGGCCCCTAAACTACCAGATTCTGTGGAGGGCCTCCGCGCTGCTGGCAACGAGAGCTTCCGCAGCGGCCAGTACGCCGAGGCATCCGCGCTCTACGGCCGCGCTCTGCGGCTGCTGCAGACGCGAGGTACGATCCCCTCCCGTCCCCCCCGCCCGTTTTCTCCCGCACGCACCTCAGCACCTCTCTCACGCCGGCTCCCTGCGTCTTTTCGGCGGCCGCCGAGTGAACCCTGCCCCCGACCCTCAGCGTGCTTCCCGCCGCTCCCCGACTTTGGCATCCTTCGAGAAACTTCTGAGCCCTTCCCGTTTGCTTGTTGTCTCAACCGACTTCTTGGGTAGAATCGAAAGTTATTCCAGCCTCACTCCGCTGCTGAGGCTGTAGCGGAGTCCTCACCCACAACGCTTCATTTTTCGTTTTAATTAACATGTGGGGACTACCCTACTTGGGGAGGGAGGATGTGTGGTCCTTAAGTTCGTTAAGTTTTTGGTGTTGAGTATTCCTGGAGAAAAAAGGCATTAAAAAAGCCCTCATGCTGAACATGGAAGCGTGTTAGCCCTGGGGATGCTGAGGCAGGTGGATCGCTGAGTTAGAGGCCAGCCTAAACTTACACAGCAAGACTTTTATCTCTGGAGGAACAAAAAAGGCTCCTAAACAAAATAAATATGGTATGCTCAGAAGTCAAAGCACAGTAAGACAGGAGAGGTAGTAGTTAGGCATGAGGGAGACAGAAGCTTATAGTGTAGCCGTTTTAAGCATTCCTAAGGAGTCCAGATTTTATTCTTTGATTGGGAGTGTAGAGGAGTAAATAGAGGGAGTAGCATATTCTTGTCATTTCTCCCAGCCCTTAACTCACTTTAACCAACCAAAGATCTTTCCCCAGAGCTTTGCCTCTTCAAACTACCTACCCAGGTAAGGTGGTACACAGCTGTAATTCCAACACTTAGGGACACTGAGGCAGAATTGCCTTGAGTTCAAGGCCAGCCTGAACTATATATAGCAAGACTGTGTCTCAACAAAACAAAACAAAACAAAACAAAACAAAACATCGCATCCAGGAGTACCCATAGTTAAAGCTTTGACTTTTGAGAAGAGCCTTGGATCTCATTTTTCATAAGTTGCTGTAGTATCTGTTTATCTTTTTTTTTTTTTTTTAATTTTTGCAGAACCCAGGATTGAACTCAGGCCCTTGCATTTGCCAGGCAAGCACTTATGCAACTGAGCTTTCTCCCCGGCCCCTTATTTTTTTTTTTTATTTTTTTTTTTTTTTTTTTGAGACAGGGTTTCACTGTGCAGTTCATACTGGCCTTGTGCTCACTTTTGTAGCCTCCAGGCTGCTCTCGAACTCACAGAGATCCTCGTGGCTCAACCTCCTGAGTGCTGGGATTACAGGCATGTACCACCACACCTTTTCCCACGGCGCACGGTGGGTTCATCCCACGTAGACCACACAGCATGTTGGGCTCAGGATTGAACTCCTGTCCTTTTGTTTGCCAGGTAGATGCTTATGCCTCCGAGCTATCTGTCTGGCCCCTACATCTGTTTATCTTTGTTTTCCTCCACTTGCTAGCTTTCCTTCCTACTTAGTGTTGGAGATTGAATGCAGCGCCTTTGTACTGAGTTGTAACCCCCCCCCCCCACACACACACACACAGTATCTTACTACGTTGCCCGGGCTGGACTTGAATTTGTGATCCTCCTGCCTCAGATTTCTAGAGTGCTGGGCTCACAGGTGTGCACCGCCATGCCCAACTCTTATTTTCTTGTCTAGCATTTGTTGAGTGTTAGACATTATCGATATTGTCTTTATTTTTATCATGACCCTATGAATAAGACACTATAGATAAGGAATCTAAAATTAAGTTACCTACTTCAGGGGTACACAATTAAGACATGTCAGACGTAGGGTTTAACTTTGAATTTGGCTACTAAGTCCAAATTTTGAACAGTATAGTTGTACTTAACCACAAATCCACAAACTCGGGCTTTTTTGTTTTTTTAGGAATTACGAAGTCCCCTCATCTGCCAAACCTACTTCCTTGTGTCAGCCTTATTTGATGAAAGTGTTAGAGAATAAGAGAGATTGGTTTTTCCTTGGTACCACTCCCGCTGGCCTGGGAAAGCTATGCTTTTGTGTGGGCTTATTGTGTCCCTAGAAGAGCTTAGTGTTTTTATTTACCAGAGACCAGAATTTGGTTCTGGTCCTGCTACTGATTTTCTAGGTAACTTGTAGGACCATCTCTTTATTTCTCTGATCATTTTTCTTGATTCTGAAAAGAGCCCAGTAAATATCCTAGTGCGGTGAACCCTAGCAAGCAGGTCTGTGAATTGATCATGGAGTAGGTGAGCACACCGCATTGGAGGAGTTGAGTGACTTCTGCAAGAACACAGGCTGGATTGTAGATTTCTCATGCACCTTGTAGAACCTGACGGCAGTTTCTGAGCAGCCATGCCCTGGTGACAGGAGAAAGAATACCTGTTCGGAGTGCTTGTTTCTTAAGGGTAATAGTGTACTTTATGTATCTCTACTCTGTCTCCAAGCCTGGCAAAATTAGAGGGGAAAATACTATTAATTTATTATGTTTGTTATTGTTAGTATTGAATGAAAGATATTAGATATCAACATGGTATACTGATACTGAATGAAAAAGCAAGGATAGGCAATATGATCCCACTAAGGAAAAGTTGAGTAGATAATGTTATTGTATCTTACCTGTAACTATATATAATAAAAACAGGCAATGCTTTACGCTAGCTAAATGATTGTGCTGACTTCTGGGAGTCTGTGGAGAGAACTCAGGGTAAAGGACAAGAGTAAGTAGAGCTTTAGCCCTATCAAAAATTAAGAAGACTGGATGTAAGTATAATTATGTTAAATGTAGTGAATGATACTGATTATCTGGCTGGCTGCTTGCTTGCTTGCTTCCTTCCTTCCTTCCTTTCACCTTGTGCTTGCCCGGCAGGTGTTCCTGCTGTATCTTGGGCCCATGGTTTTCTGTGTTTCAACTCTTTCTTTCTTTTTTTTCTTTTTTTTGCGGAACCAGGGATTGAACTCAGGCCCTTGCACTTGCCAGACAAGCACTTATTCTACTGAGCCATCTCCTGGGCCCCTGTTTCAACTATTTATACAGTAATGATTATATTCACTGCAGAGAGTTTGGTACATGTGTATAATGTATCTTTTTTTTTTTTTTCTTTTATTTTTAGGGAAGGGTCTACAGGGTGTTCAGGGTCTCACTACTAGGTCGTACTCGTAGTGATCTGCCTGTTTACAGCCTCCCAAGAACTGGGATTACAGGCATGTGCCACCATGCCCAGTCTCAATTGTCATCTCAGTGAGCCCCAGGGGCGGGGCTGACAGCAAGCCTGGGGATCAAATGTCCAGCCCCTATGCCTGCTTGCAGGCATTTTAATCCACTGAGCTATTTGACCAGCCCTGTATAATGTATCTTAATTCTTTTTTATTTCCCTTTACTACTTCTTCCCCCTCCTTCCATGTGAATGTTTGTTTCAACTTAAGATCTTTTCAGTCCTAAGTAAATACTTGAGTTCCATTACTAGATTAACACCCTAGTTTTAGTGTTTTGTTGCTGTTACTTTAATTATGGCCTGTGAATTTGAAATGGCTGAAAAGTATCTTTAAAAGTGAAAGTCTGGTGCACACCTAAAAGTTTGTTGTTTTTTTTTTTTAATTGAGAAACAAATATGAATGAGACAGTTTCAAAGCTGATTAATAGGACAGTTTCGATAATCAATACATTGTACATCGTTATCTTCTTAGTGGTTATCCATAGTACAAGAAGCAGACAGGGTATCCTGTCCAAACACTATTAGTACACCTCTTTCTTCTCATTGAATTAAGTGAAAGTAGCTATATATCTATCCTAACTATTTTGTATATATAGATGCAAATTGATCTTTCCTTTGTATCCCCCTTTTTTTTTGTTTAGTCCTGCCAGAGGTGGGTATTCTATTGGCATCTAAATACTATAGGTATTTGAATTCAGCAAAACAATCCAACACTGTCTAGCAGTCTATAATATTAGTGGGTACACCTATAAGTTTAGCACTCAGGAGCCCAAGACTCCTGGAGGTCCGAGTCAAGACCAGTCATGTAGTAAGTACTTATCTCAAAAAATAAAATAAAATTACTGTAGTCACAGTGAAGAAGTTGACCTGTGATTTCTGAGGGCCGTGATTGCCTTTAGAAAAATGACTAGGACTGGGAAGATAGCTCGGTAGTGTAAGCACCTGCCTGGTAAGCCTAAGGACCCAGGTTCAATCCCCAGTACCACATGTCATGCTGGCCCCATGTGGAGCCAGCCACCAAAATGAGGTGTGATGGTGCACATCTGTAATCCCAGCGCTGGGGAGGCTGAGACAGGAGGAATCAGTATGAGTCTGAGCTGTGTAGCAAGACCCAGTACCAAATTAATAAAACATTTTTTTTAAGTGACTAATAATTCTAGGGAGGTGGCTCAGTAGAATAAGCGCTTGCTATGCAACGACCTGAGATCAATCCCCAGTTCCGCAAAAAAAAAAAAAAAAAAAAAAAAGTGACTAATAATTCTCCTTATTGGGTACCTTGAGTCTGTCTTCTAAGTATCCTGGAAAACCTAGATTAGTTACCATTTCTCTGACAAAGCCCTCCCTGGCCAGATAGAACCAGTCTGATTCTCTTGTCCTGGTAACTCTTGGTCAGTCCATTTGCCAGAGATTTAAGTATGTTGTCTTTTTCCTTTTCTTTATCTTTATTGGGTTTGCATGCTTTTTGTAATAAAATTAACATACATCTAAGTAATTAAGCATGAAATTTTATTTATTTTTTGCCAGGGCCGGGGAGATAGCTTAGCAGCACAATGCCTGACTGACAAGTGCAAGATGCTGAGTTTGATTCCCAGTACCAAAGAAAAAGGAAACACTTTGTGCCACGCTGGGGATTGGACACAGGGTCTTTGTACTGGACTACATCCCCAGCCCACTCTTTTTTTTTTTTTTTTTTTAGCAGGGGGAGATGGGCTCAAGCTAAGTCACTAAATTGCCCAAGCTGGACTCAAACTTAACTGTCTTGTTGCCTCAGCTTCCCAAAGTGCTGAGATTACAAGTGTATGCTTCCACACTCAGTGCAGCATGGATTTTTATGCAGCACCCAAACACACATTTTTGTGTTTCATGGGTATCTTTTACCTGGTACCACATTTGGTGCTAGGTGAATGAATCAAGGAGATGCTTGATTCCTTGTGAATAGCACAAAGTTAGGCATTCCCTCCCTCATGTAAGAATTGGATACACAGGCTGATTAAGTTGCAGTCCTCTCTGCTGCCTTTCCCCAAAGCCAAGAGAACTCTTGGTGTGAAGGGCAACCACCCAACCCTGAAATATCCATTGCCTAAACCAATGATCTTCTCATTTTTTCTGCCTCCACCTGCACAGGTCCTTCAGATCCTGAGGAGGAAAGCATTCTCTACTCCAACAGAGCAGCATGCCACTTGAAGGATGGCAACTGCACAGACTGCATCAAAGACTGTACTTCGTAAGTGCCCCAGGAGCTTTGGAATGCCTCGGGTCTTCGAGGAATAGGCTGAATTTATCTGTTTTATTTCTTCATTGGAAGGATCCTAGCAGATGTATCTGTGGCAGGTATTAGGAGTGGCAGGTAGTAGGAGTATCATAAGTGACACTAGGCCATTGAGAATGACGGGCTCTAGTTGGTCCTTGTGGCCTCTGACTTCTTTTGTCTTCAATGTGTCAACTCTACTACTACTAGAAAATAATTAGGGCAGTTAGAGGTAGATTTTCCAGCCTTTGTGAGACTTAGGACCTTGGGTAAGTATAAAAAAATATGATAAATATTTAAATTTAAAAAATTATTACAATAAAATATACACTTCTATTGAGCTCCCCCAAAATACTCCCCTTCAAACACACTTTTCCCATTTTTCTTGTCACTTTCAGGTTTTTGTTGTTTGTCTTTGTTTATTGAGACAGGGTCTTACTATGTAGTTCACCTTGCCTTGACTTACTGTGTAGCCCTGTTGCCCTGGACCTTGCAGTGATCCTCCTGCTTCTACCTCCTGAGTGCTTGGATTGCTGGAATGTACCATCGTATCCATCTTTGCCACTTCCTGAAGCAATTCTGAAGTTCCTCTCTTGTGTTTTTCTGAAGTATGATAAAAAATACAGTGAATGCTGCTGAGTGCCATTCAGTGGAAAGGCAGGCTCATAAAAACCTTACGGTGTGCCCTTATTTACCCTAATCACCAGATGTGGCACCATGTGACTTTTGGTTCTTCCCCAAAGCCAGAGTGACCAGGAATGTTTTCATTGATCCAGGACATTAAGGTGGACACAACAGCATCACGAAAGACATTCACAAAGAGGACTTCCAGAACTGCTTCAGAAAGTGGCTAGGATGGTGGGACAAGAGTGTTCAAAGCAAGACAGATTAATGATAAAGTGTCCTTTAAGAAGTTAAAAATACTCACTGTATTTGATACTACATTGGGTAGAATTACAGATCTGTAACTGACTTGCTTATCTTTTTCTGAGATGAATGAGAGCAAAGAGAGGATACATATTAACAGATTATCTCTAAGAACAGAGATTGGAAATGGGTATATATCACTGACAAGTTATACAGGACCTTGAACGATTTTTCATACCTCTTCTTCAGGCCAGCTTTATACTGCTTTTGTTTATCATCACTAAACTGGCATGCATTCCTTCCCTGGATTCTCAAGCTTGATAGCTGTGATACTACCTCAGATTCATGCCCTGGTGGTAGACAGAATAGCAGGAAAGGAGCATGCTTACAGAGTGTGTGGTAGGAATCCTTTGAGTGTTCACAGTCACTCTTTGGGATAAGTGCTGTTTTTGTTGTTGTTGTTCTGTTTTTTATTTTTTGTACCAGCAGTCGAACTCAGGGCTTGCACTTGGCCAAGCAGGTGCTGTGCCACTGAGCTAACACCCCTGGCCCTAGTTTACCCCCTTTCCTAGGCCAGAACCGAGTTTTTAAAGATTAGACTGTAGGAGCCGGGGAGATGGCTCAGTAGAATAAGCACTTCCTTGGCAAGCACAAGAGCAAGAGCCTGAGTTCAATCCCCGGTTCTGCAAAAAATATAAAAATAAAAATAAAGATTAGACTGTAGTTATGTGGTTAATGCTGAAGTGGAATCCAGAAACCACCCTCGCTGACTCAAGTCCTGCTTTATTAGTTCCACTGGGCCACAGTGTAAAAACATTCGCTAACATGAAAGCCATGAGGTTCTTTCTTGTCTTTTGGGAGTGTTTATTATTGTTTGATACAGGGTATTGCTATACAGTTTTTTTTGTTTTTGTTTTTTCTTGAGGTACTGGGGATTGAACTCAGGACCCTGCGCTTACCAGGCAAGCACTTATTCTACTGAGCTATCTCCCTGGCCCTGCTATATAGTTTGAACCTTGAACTTGCAGTGTAGCCCAGGTGGCCTTGAACTCTCAGCAGTCCTTATGCCTCAGCCACCCTAGTGCTATGATTACAGATGTTTACTCTCATGCTTGGTTTATCATTTTGCAAGAGATTGAAGCTGTGACACTTGATGCACACAAATTTCACAGTATTTGTGGTTCTTTGTCCGCTTTTCCTCCTTACTTCAATCTAAGTTGAAAAGCCCCATTCTGGGGTTTGGCGTTTTTAACAGTATACCTTGGTCAGAAATTATTTCCAGTATACTAAGTATTACAGATGACTCTGCCTAGAAGAAACTGCAAGATTGAAGTCCTGGTGGCCTGCTTAGTTGATGACATTTTTGCCTTCTACTCTAGGGCACTGGCCTTAGTTCCCTTCAGCATGAAGCCCCTGCTGCGGCGAGCTTCTGCCTTTGAGGCTCTGGAGAGGTACCCTCTGGCTTATGTCGACTATAAGACTGTGCTGCAGATTGACAGTAGTGTCATGTCAGCCCTGGAAGGCGTCAACAGGTGAGCCCAGTGCGCTGTGGAGCTCCATGGAAACCTGTCTTCCTTGCTCAGATCTGAGCCATCGTGTTGGTTATCTTATAGGAGGGATCCCTTTGGCTAGTCACAGAAAACTACTGAGTATGGAAACTAAAAGGAGAATCTCTTGGGTACTTCTTAGGTATTTAAAAGGAGTAAAAATTGCCAACATTGATTTTTACCTAGATATGTGAATTCATTCACACAGTAGTATTTATTTAGCTCTCTTTAACACACTGTGCCAGATTCATTTGGGGATACAAAATTTAAGAGATTTAGACCCCACTCTTTTGCAAATCAAATCTCTCTTTAGGAGATTGTGTGTATAAGCAGCTAGGACATAGCCTACAGGAATGTTGTCAGCATGCTGTAATGTGACTTCTATGAGATCCTCAGGTGAAATATCTTAAGGGCGCCTGAGCCATGGGTGGTTTTATTTCTTGTTTCCTCTCATCGTGTGAGCTGCTAAAAAGCCAAACACCACAGTACTAGCAAATCTTTGTTTTTATAATGTTGGGTTTCTTGCTTCACTTTCGGCAACACCCACTTGTTTTCTTTCTGCTTCTTTGTAATTTCTGTCATTAAACCAAATCTACCAGTTATGTGCTACACGTTATGCATGGACCTTCAAAGTGAGGCTGATGACTGGGACCAACCACCTACCTGCTCCATAGAGCTCCTGGTCTGTAGGGAGTACAGAGACCACTGTATGCAGCCTCAGTACAGTGTGTTAAATGATGTGACAAGAGTGAGCACAGGGGCTCTAGGGACCAGCTAGAAAGATGAGGGAATTCGGAGACGACTTCTCAGGGGAGGTGAGCTAAAACAGAGACCTGTGGCAGGTGAGTAGCAAGGAGGAGGAACAGCAGGTGCAAAGGTGAGGTGTGTGATGTATTAAGGGTTTACAAATCATGTGGTTCTGCGGGAAGAGAGCTAAACATGGTCCTAGATGTTGAGGCCAGGTTACACAGGGCCTTGTCTTCAAGATTTAGACAAAGCAAATGAGACTTCAAAAAAGGGTCTTTATCTTCTAGCACTCAGGAGGCTGAGGCAGGAGAATTGCTATAAGTTCAGGGCCAGTCTGAGCTACATAGTGTGTTGAAGGTCAGCCTGAACTGCATAGTGAGACCCTGTCTCAAAAAGCTCTACATGAAGACCGTGGGTTCCATCTGCAGTCTGGGGGTGAGGGGTGGAGGGATGTATGGATTGTAATAGGGCATTTAATGGCTTTGGAACAAAGCAGAAAAATGTAGGCCAGTCATAGAGCTTTTGTGTAGGGGTGGGGAGTGTTCTGAGAATTGAACTCAGGACCTTGTGCTTGCCCAGTATGTACTGTACCACTGAGCTACTATATTTCTGGGCCCAGTCATAGAGATTTAAGTGTTTTCAACACAGAAGTAGATTCAAGTAATCTTAAGTTATTTTTCTCCTGTTGCTGAGACAAAATGGCTGGCACACAAGTTTGTTTGGCTGGCTCAGGCTGCCTTAAGGGTGGGTCTGGTAAGGCATTGGGAGCTGGGGGGTCGAACATCCCCTGCACCTGACTAGGTTTGCCCCAGCAGGCACTTAAACAACTGAGCTAACCCACAAACCACCTACACCCAAAATTAAGGAAAGGTTTATATAGCTCAGTTTGTGGAGGTTTCAGTCTGTAATCAGCAGGCTCTAGGCAGGGTGCCCTGGTAGGGGGAAATAGTTCAAGACTTCAGAAGACAGCAAAAACAAGAGCAGAAGAGGGGGAGGGCAAGCCTGTAGGCTACCTGCCCTTGGGTGGCCTCCTCATGTTCAGGCTCAGGATACTTACAAAGCAAGGAAGCTGGCCCCCTGCTGAGTTGGTTCATTCAACTTGGAAACTTCCTAAATTGACACAATGAACAGCATCCTAGATGGGTAAGGGCATGTCCTCCACCCCCAGGATGTAGAACTGCTGAGTTATTTAGATAACCTATGGGCTTGTAGGCTTCTCAAGTTGACCAGTATATCAGCCATAACAAAGGCTGAGGGAGAATGGAGTCAATGACAAATAGAGTCAGAGAGAAAGGGCAAAGTTGGAGGAGAGGTCAGCCCGGCTAAGATCCTTGAGAGAGGCAGGAGATGGGAGCCAGAGCTTAGGTGGAAGGGTTGTCCCCTGCGTCTCCTTTATTGTGACAGGAGACAAATAGGAAGAATTTAGTACCCAGACAGGTAGGTTTGTATTGGGGTATAAGAAAGTTTGCTTGGAAAATAGTGAAGGGTTAGTGAAGGAGCTTTCAAATAGCAGGGCTGAGCAGGAAAACAGCTTTGGGCGCCTAATTGGAGATCTTGCATTTGTGGTAATGTCAGTGTGTGTCTTCATTCCTGTAAGATGTGAACAAGGCTCTGGAAGCAGAAAAAGGACAGAGTTGGCTTTGTGTACTCGTTCAGCATGTTTTTGGCCTTGGTAGCTCCCAAGTGACAGGCTTGATGCTACAGGCTAGTGCACAAAATGGTTGTGGTCACAAAGCAGCATGTTAAACTGAGACCTAAAGAATAGGTAGGAGTTAGCTAGATCCAGAAGATTGGAAAGGGAAGTAGAAGATTGTTTTCCAGATAGAGAAATACAAACGTGAGGATCAGGAGGCAGTGGGGATTATATAAAAGTGAATAGAAGGAGGGGTTTGGACCTCACATGTTAGCCTGGGGAAATGGAAACCACTAAGAGGTTTTAAGACTTCAGAATGCCTTAAACCTGGCATTTTAATTAATTAATTTATTTATTTATTTATTTATTTATTTTTGTGGAGTTGGGGATTGAAATCAGGCCCTTGTGCTTGCCAGGCAAGCACTTAATTCAACTGAGCTATCTCCCAGTCTCCAAACCTGGCATTTTAAAAAGAAATCTAGTCAAGTGTAGTAACACACACCTATAATCCTGGTACTTGGGAGGCCGAGTCAGGAGAATCAAAAGTTTGTGTCTTATCTGGGTATATAGAGCTCACTGTGAAAGCCACAATTTCAATTCCTGGTTCCAAAAAAAAGAAACAGCCTTAATCATACCTTCTATGCTTGTATGGCTTTGTATTAGCTTTATTGAGAAAGTGTAAAACCTTGCAAACATAGGCTCTTTTCTGGGGGGGATGTGTCATCTTCTGAAGGCTGTCACCACTTTATTTATTTATTTATTTTGGTGGAACCAGGGATTGAACTCAGGCCGTTGCGCTTGCCAGGGAAGCGCTTATTCCACTGAGCATCTCCCCGGCCCTACCACTTTATAAAGTTATCACAGTGCAACAACTCTGAAGGCAAGGAGCATCATGGCGGCTGATCCAAATGAGCATGTGTTGGGGACGGATGTGTGTCCCTCCAGTGCAGCGTGTTATAAGCTAAAATAGATGTACGTTCCAGGGGAAGGATGATAGTAGACTGCTCTGAAAGGGCAAACCTCCCGGCAATCCTCCCTTCTCTTCCAGAATGACAAGAGCTCTCATGGACTCCTTTGGGTCTGAATGGCGCCTAAAGCTGCCTGCTATCCCTGTGGTGCCTGTCTCAGCCCAGAAGAGGTGGAATTCCTTGCCTTCAGAGAACCATAAAGAGACAGCGACAGGCAAATCCAAAGAAACAGCAGCTACAAAGAACAAAGGTCTGTAGCTCCCTGTCTAGAGGTTTCCAGTGCTTTAAAGTAGCCCTATAAAAATTGGCCTCCTTTAGCTGAGTTATAATCTTATCAATGAAGTTTTCAAAAATAGTGAAAATTTTCCACTTTTTAGAGATTGTCACTTCAGCTATCCAGTGAGGTGGTGACAAAACCTACCTCAGAGCTATAAGAATTAAACAGTGTAAGGTATATCAGACTCCAGCCTGGCCTACAGGTTTGTGGTTTTAGGTCCCATTCTTCAGACAGCATTGTGAATGTATTGCTTAGGATGGTTTTGACTGTGAGAACAAAAAATTCAATGTGATAGAATGGTAGTTTATTGGTTCACATGAGTGAGAAATCCCGAGAGTGCAGGTGAGGCGTGCTCCTCCGCTCCCTGCATTGTCAGACTGGTTCTTCCTTCAGTGCTTCTCCCCACTATCCCTGGGTGTGTGTCAGTTTTGCCTTCAGGCAAGCTCTCATCCTGGTACCGGAGCTGTAGCAGTTCCTGGCCTGTAGCATAGACCACACTAGTGATCCAGAGGAAGAAAGAACATATTTTTTCTCTTCCTGCACAAAAACTATAGCTCGTATATTTTCTCAGTCTGTTCTGGTCTCATCTGATGGGTCATAGGTCACTATATCAGAGAATGAGTGATTCTGTCCTCACTTCTGCATCACTGGGGATTTAACCCAGGATCTTTGCACTAGGCTATAGCCCCTATATTTTTGAATTTTTTATTTAGAGGCAGTCAGCTAATTGCCCAGATAGGGCTTGAACTTGCAGTCCTTCTGCTTCACCACACCATTGTGCAGGGATTACGAGCATGCACCACCACAATCAGCACTGGGAGTAAGATTTAATCTGTGTCTAACTCAGCCCTGGGCCATGGCCCAGCTCTGTAGAGGGTGGTGCCATCCCATGGACACATGCCCTGTGTGAATCCCTGGAAGATGAGTAAGAAAAAGATAGAAGCTGAGCAGCAGGAACTGTTCACTGGGCAGCTATTAGAGTGTTAAGGGAGTTATCCCAGCCAGGCAGGTTATTAGGGGTGCAGAAAGGAGCAGGGCTGGAGCTGTCATGTGTAAGTAAGCCTTAGGTATTAGGGGAGGGCAGAAGTTACTCTTATTTGCAGGAGTACCCTTATCTAGCCATGGGTAGCTCTCGCCCTGTTTTGTGGGAACCTGGTCAGTGTTCCTCCATCCTTTCCTAGAATGAAAATGTAGGGTACTAGGGAACTGCAGGGCTTCACAGGACCTACCGTTTATTTTGTTCTTTTGGAGTCCCTACGCAATATGTGTTTCGGTATAACACAGAAGACAGGATCCTTGGCCTCCAGGAAGCTTTTACTCTAGTGAGCGAGTGAGACATGGAAGCAGAACACTGTAGAATATGAGTAGGAATGCCTGTTGTAGTCTTTTGTGTTGGGAAAGTTCAAATTAGAAGTAGGCTTCAGTATGTTAGCGGGAGTCAGAGGAGCCTCACAGAGGAAATGGTGATGGAGGTGATGCCTGAACTAGACCTTGATGCTGAGGTGTGAAAGAGGTTGAATTTTTGACAGACATGTGGGAAGAGCAGAGTGAAAGGGAACAGGGTAAAGGGAATAAACTTGAGTGTAGTGAGGTGCGTGTCACAGAGCCAGCGAAGCTAGAGCTGTGCTTCTAGAGCAGCTTGTCATCAAGCGCTCAGAGAGACATCTGTGATAGCAAAAAGTTACATGCATTGCTACCAGTGAATCTCAGGAATACAATGAGGGGGAGAAAAATCTCATCAAAGAATATAGACTCATTTATTCCTCACAGGAAGTTTAAAAAAAAAAAACAAGACAGCAGTTGGGCATAGTAGCACACACTGTAATCCCAGTATTTAGGAGACAGAGACAGGGTTGCTGAGATTTTGAGGCCAGCCTGGGCTACATAGTTAAGTAGACCCTGTTTCAAAAAAACAAAATTTTTTAAATTTCCAGTGTGGTGGTGAATGCCTATAATCCCAGCCCTCAGGAGGTGCTGGGAGTTTTTTTTTTTTTTTTTTTTTTTTTTTTTTTTTTTTTAATTTTATTTTGGCAGAACTGGGAATTGAACTCAGACCCTTGAGCTTGCCAGGGAAGCACTTGTTCCACTAAGCCATCTCCCGATGCTGGCTGGGAGTTTGAGGCCAGCCTGAGCTCTAAAGTAAGTTCAAGCCTAGTCTGAACTTTTTTTGAGACCCTCTTAAAAAAAAAAAAAAGCACAAGGGAAAGCAGCACAGAATCAGAGATAATAGTTTCTACAGTAGTGGTGTCTTGGTTAGTTTTCTCTCTGAGACATTTTTTGTCTCAGAGAGAAAACCCAACATCCAAAATTAAGGAAGGAGAGGTTTTAGCTAACAGTGTGTAGAGGTTTTAGTCCATACTCAGCTGGCTCCAAGGCACGGTGGCACATGGCAGAGGGGCAACAGTGCAAGGTGGCAGAAAACAGCAAAAGCAGCAAGGACGGGGAGGACAAGCCCCAAGCTCTTTTCCTCCTTTTTGTTGTATTTTGGCTGTCTGCCCACACCCCCAGGATCTCTAGGCCCTCTTGTGCTGGGAGCTGAGATTGTTTACAAAGTATGGCCCCTGACCCCCTGCTGAATCACTTAAACTTTTAAACTGAAGTTAACAATGAACAACATCCTAGAGCTGGTAAGGGCATGTGCTTTTCACCCCAGGATGTAGACTTGCTGAGTTAGGCTTCTAGACCCCTCAGGGTGACACAATAACAAGTAGACTGAGTGGACAAGGGCCCCTCAGGACCTCGGAGGTACTGTACTATTAGTATGCTACTTCAACTTGAAGATGAGTTCAGGGCTTGGTATTATTCTTGTAACATTACCTATGTTAGAAATATTCAGTATTTTTTAAAGATAAAGCAAGGCTAGAACAATAACCTGGGGCCAAGCAATGAAAAGCCTCGAACACAAACGCAAAATTAGGGTTTGCTCCCGCCCTGCTCTCCTGGAGAGGTGGAGCAGCGCTCCATGTGTCATGTTACATGGGGAGGATGCTCAGGCACAGATCCATATAGGGTAATCAGGCATTTCTGCCCTTTTTCAAAAGCCCTGATGCTACTTACTCTCCTGCTCTAAGTTTACTATACTTGATTTTGCATTTTCTGATCTGATCTTCACAATTACTTTTCTGTGGAATAATTGTTGTTCCATCATACTAGTAAGGAAATTGAGGTCCAGAAGTGATGCAATTATGTGCATGTCTAAGCATATTTGTAACAGGAATCCCCAATACCTTCTGAATGAAATTTAATTCCCTGAAGCCATTCATTGAGGAAATCATTGATCAGGAAGGGTGATTTGCAAAAGCCTAGGCAACCGAGGTGGGTGTTTACAGGTAACACAGAAGAGATGATGCTGAAGAGGTCTTACTGATCTCATTTGGGCACCTGCTCCATGTTTTTTTCCTCTTCTGAATTTGTATCTAGTGCCTTCTGCTGGGGATGTGGAGAGAGCCAGAGCTCTGAAGGAAGAAGGCAATGAGCTTGTAAAGAAGGGCAACCATAAGAGAGCTATTGAGAAGTACAGTGAAAGCCTCTTGTTTAGTAACCTGGAATCCGCCACGTACAGCAACAGGTATCTTCTACAGAGCTGCTGGCTTGGGAGATTTCAGGAAGTTGGATGTTCTGTTCTGTCATCTTCTGCAGCTGTGGTGGGTTTTTCAGTCCCTGGCAGTTAAGTCATGTGCTCAAAATATGCATGCACACAGGTTTCATGTACTGTGAGCCAGGCACTGCACATGACAAAGGGTAACCTGGGATTTTTTAGTCTGTCCCCCCAGAACTTTATTATTAGTCACCCCAAAAAGTGTAAGTAAAAGCAGTGTGCTTGCCGTGCAAACCTAACTATAAAGGGACCTATTGCCTCTCCATCCTCCTGCTCCCTGCCCCATGCCTTCTTTAAGATCCTCCTATTAGGAGACTGGCAGTCTCTGAGTGCTGGCCCACTGCCCTGAGAGGGAAGTAACTGTTTTGTGGCCTGGGAATAGGAGGAAAGGGTGTAGTGTAGCCTGAGAGGTTAGACTTGGGGGCCTTGGAAGGCTGTCACAAGGTCACATCACGGACCACTGAGAGTACACTGTCCCTGTATTGTGTGGGACTCACTGCCCTCTGCAACAGTGCTGGGAGGAATAGGTGGTTGGTCTTCTGTTTTAGCATTGAGAAAACTAAGCCTCAGGGAGGAAGGACTCTGCCTCCACTCACCAAATTAGGTGAATCTGGTTTCATGAGATGTTAAGTTTTACTTCAGAAGCTCAATACATTCAACAGGGTACAGTTTCTGATCCAAACTTTCATTATAAACATTAAAAAAATAAAAAGGAAAAGCCGAGTATAGTGGCTCACACCTGTAATCATAGCACTCATAAGGCTGAAGATCAGAGTGAGTGTGAAGCCACCCTGGACTACATAATGAGTTCAAGGCCCACTTGAACTACAGTGAGACCGTGTCCAATGAAAGAGTGAGTGAGTGAGTCAATGAGTTTAACTCATGGAAATTCCATAGTAACATGGAATTGAAGAAAGATAATTAGTCTCATGTCAGTTTAAGTCTGGTATTATTGCCAAAAAAGTTGAAAAGAAAATTTTGAAAGTTTGAGTTTTGGACCTATGGTTTTACTGGCTGAGGGGTTCAGGGTCCAAGTTCTCCAGGCTAACTGGAAGGAGACTGCTACCTGTTCGCTCCATATTTATGTGGCACCCGCTGACTCCTCTTTCTGCTCTCTGGCCTTTATGCTAATGTCACCTCATTACTCCATTCTCCTGGATTTTATATCACAACTACAGTATTTTGTTTAAACACTATTTTTCTTAAGTAAATGTAACTGCCAGTTTTGATTTCTCATATTATATCATCATGTAAAGCAGATCTCGTCATTGTTAACCATAGAATCCGGGCAGTCCTCCCAGTTCTAGCTGAGCCTTTGGATTCTTTCTTTCTTTTTTTTGATGGAACCAGGGATCGAACTCAGGCCCTTGCGCTTGCCAAGGAAGCACTTATTCCACTGAGCCATCTCCCCGGCCCCCTTTGGATTATTTTGACAAATTCCTAAAATGATCTTAGTGGGCAGCTTTTGGTTGTGGTGTTGTGGAGCTTATAAATTTAATTTAGGGAACTAATTACGAAAACTGAACTTTCAGGTATTGTGGCTGAAGTCATACCACATCCTACATGTATGTAGTTTTAATATTTTATCTCATATATATCTTTATGGAATAGTGTCTTGGCCCTAACTTAACCCCCCTTTTTTTAAAGACTTATTGATTTTGTGCATGACCTCACTATGCAGCTCAGATTCATAGTGATCCTCCTCTCAACCTCCCTAGCACTGGGATTATAGGCATGCGCCACTACTCCTGATTTCAGTAGCTGGCATGGCACCTAGTACCAGGGATCAAACCCAGGTCCTTGCACTTGCCAGGCAGGCACAGACTGCTGAGCTATCTCCCAGCCGCCTAAGTTACCCTTTTTCATTTTGTTGTTGTTATTTTTGAGACAAGAGTCTCTCTGTAGTTCAGACTGGCCCTAAATTCACTAAGCACCTGGGTCTCAAATTCACAGAAGTCTTCCTTGACTTAGCCTCCTGAATGCTGGGATTATGGGCATGTGCCACCACACCCAGCACTTCAGTTATTTTAGAGACAGTGTCTGGCTATGTAGTTCATATGGGCTTGAACTCACTGTGTATACAAGGTCCTACCTCAACCTTCTGAGTGCTGGGATTACAGCAGCCCCCACTAGACTCAGCACCCCAGCTTGCCACTTTGTGTAGCTGGAATGGGACCATGCAGCACCACTCAGTACCCAGCACCAACAGCTTGCCAGACCCAGAGTGAACCTTCTACTTGGTAGTTCTTCTGAGTGACATCAAAGGCCCTTTCTATCCAGATAGGTTAGAGCAGGTAAAAAGATGGGTTAATGAATATATATGGCAGTGCTGAGACACAAGCCAGGTACTTTTTTTTTTGGGGGGGGGGGTGCTGGGCATTAGATCCAGGGCCTTGTGCATGCTAAGTATGAGTATGATCAAAAAATAGTGATTTAAAATTATTGTAGTAAATTAATCCCACATTTATCCCACTGTTCTTGCCACTTTTGCAGTTCTAGAAGTCCTCTTTTCTGACTTTAGCAGTGTGCTGTTTACCTGCTTCAGTGTCCTAAATCAGTTTAAAACATTTACCGTTCATGGTCATTTTGACTGTGGAGAGGAGTAGGAAATCCACAGTACCAGATCCAGTGAGGTGGGTGAGGACCCACCACAGTGTTATCACAAGCCTGCCTTCTTCCACACAGCACTCTGTAGCAGTCACTTTTTTTTTTTTTTTTTTTGCGGAACCAGGGATTGAACTCAGGTCCTTGCGCTTGCCAGGGAAGTGCTTATTCCACTCACTGAGCCATCTCCCCAGCCTAGTCACCATATTTTTGATCACTTATATAGACAAGAGGATTTCCAGAACTGCCTCAGAAACTAGCAGGGGAGGATTTAATAGCATTGTGTATTTTACTATAATAAAAATTTTAATAAAATATTAGTTGTATATATATGTGTATGTATATATATGTATGTATATACATTATATATAATGTACATATATATACTTTTTTTTTGAAAAAAAAAAAACCCAAAAATAGTACTGATAAGGATTGAACTCAGGTCCTTGTGCTTGCCAGGCAAGCACTTATTCTACTGAGCCATCTCCCTGGCCCCTCATTGTATATTTTGAACACTCCTTATACATGTTCTACCATTTACCATGAGAAAGGGAAAATTCCACAGAACTTACTAAGAGTAATTGGATAAATTTTATATCATACAGTTAAACTTTGTGTAAAAGTGTTTGTTCAGTTTTAGAATAAAACAGCTACATTTTAAGTGAATCAGGGGCTGGGGATACAGCTCTGTGGCAGAGCATCTGCCTGGCAAGTGCAAGTTCTTGAGTTCAATTGCTTGTACCAAATAGAAAAAAACAAAAAAGTGAATCAGTTGCAACCAGAATTGTGGAACAAATTCTGCAACCAAAATTATGGAAATAGTAAATTTGTGAACCAAACTGTACTATTTCCTTCCATATAGGCAGAAATTAAAGTGTAAAACTGTTTGGATAGACTTGTAGGAAAGTAAAACTTGGTCAATAACTGTTGTTGACAGGAATTTTCTTTGGAGAATATTTGGGGAGCAACAAACAGAATTTAAAATGTATATATCTTCACTCAGCAGTCCCTACCTGAGGGTGTTCACCGTGGTATCATTTGTTTACAGACTGGAAACAAAAAAAATAGTACTGATAAGGAATCAGTAAAATAGAGTAGGTGCAGCAGACTAAATGAGTGCCCTGTACCCACTGAAAACTGAGATGATGGGATTGAATGAACTTGGGTAACAAGTTCCAGGACATCTGACAGTTGTGCCTTATGCCTCTAGCGATTGTCTTTGAAGAAAAAGGCCAGACTTGAATAAAGAGAAATGTACTTTTCCCCTTCTGATGGAGAATATTTTGTTTTGTTGGAGTACATATTTATTTTTTCATAGCATTTTTATTTTATTTTTGATGTGCTTAGTATAGGGTCTCACTACACAGATTGGACTCCTAGTGATTACAGGCATGGCCTACCACACCCAGTCTCAATCACTGTTTCAGCATGCCCGGGGCACAGCCAGCACAGTGTGCTGGGAATCAAGCCTCCTGTCCCTGAGCCTGCCTAAGCAGGCACTTGAGTCCACTGAGCTATCTGGCCAGCCCATCGCAGCATTTTTTTATGAAAAAATTCAAATTACAGGACATTGGAAGGAATACTACTTTGAATATCATACACATTACCATCTGTAGCAGTGGTGGCGAACACACGCCACAGTTGGCTGTGTTATTGAAAGCTCTAAAAGTTCGTCATCACTGATCATAGTTTTGTTATATTTATCATTTAGCTAATTATCAGTCTCTCTTTATTCTTCATGTATCTCACAGTAAATTGCAGATATGTTTATATTTCATCCCTAACATGTCAGCATGCATATCATTGACTAGAGTTCAATATTTGTGGGGTTTTTTGTATTTTATGGAAGGGTCTACAGGGTGTTCAGGGTCTCACTACTAGATCGGGCTCTAGTGATCTGTCTGCTTACAGCCTCCCAAGAGCTGGGATTATAGGTGCATGCCACCACACTCAGTCTCAGTTGCTGTCTCAGTGCGCCCTGGGGTCGGGGCCAGCATGGCATGCCCATGGTTCAAATTCCCAGCCGCTGCCAGGCACTTTAATCTGCTGAGCTATTTGGCTGGCCCCTGTGTTTGTTTTTTCTAATGGAGACCCATTTTTCTAATGGAGACGGTCTCAGGATGGTTTTTTCTTTGCTTAAAAGTACCTGGTAAGAGAGAGCATAGTATGACAGAACCAAACGTGCTCAGGGTCCAGAGTCCTGCAAACCCACCTAGTTTGCACCTCAGAGACCTGGAAGTAGTGGTAGGACCCTGGACAAGTCCTTGCCTCCCTCGGAAGCAGCTGCAAGTTTTTTCGTCTATAAGAAGGGGTATAATTATTGTATCAAAAAAGATAGTAACAGCACAGAGTAGGTGTTCAGCAAATCTAGATGGGTCCACAGCTTGTAGGGTTCAGCTTGTGGGGCCCACAGGAGTGACTGAACCTTTACCATGGTCTTTCCCATCAGAGCACTCTGCCATCTGGTCCTGAAGCAGTACAAGGAGGCAGTGAAAGACTGTACAGCAGCCCTCAAGCTGGATGGAAAAAATGTGAAGGCATTTTACAGACGTGCTCAAGCCTATAAAGCACTCAAGGTAAATGGTCTTGCCTAGAGGTGCCACCAGAGCTAGAGATGTGAGTGCTGGCCCTGGGACTGCAGTCATGGGGTGAGGCAGTGCCTGCTGAGTGCCTTCTCCTGGGCCCCAGGACATTCAGGGCATTTATAGCCAGGGCTTGAAATCCCTCTGCAGCCTCAACAGCTGTGCCACCCCCACTGGATCTCCATCCAAACCCCCTCAACATACTCCTTTCCTCTCTCCCATTAGGACTACAAATCTAGCCTTGCAGACATCAGCAGCCTCCTACAAATTGAGCCCAGGAACGGCCCTGCACATAAACTGCAGCAGGAAGTTAACCAGAACCTGAAATGAAAACTCAAAAAGGCAGCAGGAACCCTCTACCTGACCTTCCCAGAAAAGCCAGGGCCTCCCCTCCTGTCTCCCCTGAGCCTAGCATGCCCCAGAGGGAGTGCGCAAGCATCCCTACCCAGTTCCTTGGAGGCAGCAGCTGTTCATCCCTTGTGGGGTTTCACTTGTTCGAATTAAGCCCATTGTTATCAAGCACAGACATTTTGCTAGAGCTCCTCAGTCATGCTAAAGGGCGAGGCTGGAGTGCGGTCCTCATCCTTCAGACAGGATCACGCAGGTCCTCACTAGCAAAACATTTAGCTTTGTTCTTGCCCCATGTGTGCTAGACTTGAGTGCTGCCTGTAGCTTCAGCAGACCACCCTGTTCTTTGCAATTAATCTGCACAGACTATGCCTGAGTGGGGTGTAAATGAAAAGTCCCGCCCACCAACACGGAGCAAGCAGCTTGTTGAGCTGGACCCCCAGGGCTGCCGCCATCCCCACCCATCATCATCCTGGGCAGTCTTTGCGTCTAAGCCCCAGTGCCTTTAGTCCTGCCCCTTTGGTGGGTGGGCAGAGCCCTGCCCCTGGGAGGCTCTGTCTTTGACTCTGCTGCTGCTGCCGTCTGCATGGAGGAACCATCAAGACCCCAGTAGTCACGGCTGCTCCTTGAGGGGATCAGTGTCCTTCCATCTTGGGCAGGAATCCTGCCTTTTTCTCCCAGCAGTGGCCCCTCCTACCTTAGTTCTTTGTACCACTTTCATTTGAAGTGACTGGGTTTGTTGAACTGTGTAAACTATTGCATTAAAAAGTTTTCTTTCACCCACATCTGTTGTGCATACCTCTTCAGATACCTTTTCTGCTTTGTGGCTGGAACTTTGTAATGGTAATAAAAATTACTGCTGCTTGGGTTTGTATTGATCCATTGAGATTTACTGAAATGTCTGTGTAGGTCAAGCACTGTGTATATAGTACTAGAGGTACACAACAGTGAGTAGATACTGGCTGAGTTTTGATGGGATGGCAAGAAATGAATCAGATAATCGACCAGGTGTGAAGCTGCAGCTGGCTGAAGAACTGTGAAGCAGACATCCAAGTGTTCTAACCTGCCTATGTGGGGAGGTTGAAAAGTCCCAGAAGAGGTAAAGTTCATGTTGAGTTTTAGTTATTGAGATAGGGTCTCAACCCCCTATGTCACCCAGGCTGGCTTCCAACTCATGGCAAGCCTCCCACGTGTGAGGATTACAGATGTGCATCACTACACCCAGCTCATACTGAATTCTAAATTGAGAAGTTAGAGCCAGGTATGGTAGTGTGTGCCTGTGAGCCCAAGACTAAAATGGGCAACTTAGACCCTGTTTATAAATTAAAAATACAGGGGGCTGGGGGGAAGGGATAGTTCAGTAACTTGCCTAGCATGCAGTGTCTTGGGTACAGTCCTCAAAATGCAAAAGTAAAGTGAATTAGCAGATGAGGGAGGGGCATATATGAAGACCCTATTTAGAAAGACATGTGAGGGAAGAGAGGGGCCCAAAGGTGCCATTTAAATTCACAAAACATGGCATAGGATGAAGATGGAGAACTTTAGGACCTAGTCAGAAGGTGCGCTCCATTCCTGGGCTGGGCACTACATTGTTTCTGCCTTAATGAAGTAGCAGAGCAGAGTCTCTCACGACTCTGCTTCCATTAGTATATACAAGGCCCTGAGTTCTGTCCCCCAGCTCACAACTGTCCATTCTACCCTGCCACCAGAAACAATTCAGCCATATGACAAGCTTCCTTACCCTCACCATCCATCATCTCCACAGGATTTGGGGATTCAAGTATTTGCCAAGCCAGGCATGGTGGCACACACTTGTGATAGCAGCACTCTGACAAGGAGAGGCGTGTGTGACTGTCCTGAAGATCTTGAGGGACAAATGGAAACCTGACCCTGAAAAGCACCCTGCCTCATTTCTATTAAAGATCTTCCTCCCACTGGCTGAGTACTCCCCTCCCAGGTGTCTCCCAGCTCTGCAGGGTACTCAAGCCAGCGCTCACCATGCTCAACATGGGCTATGGCTTTAGGCCATTTTCTCCGGCCATTACACAATAACACCCGATTTACCATCCCCCCACACTGTCAACAGGTCACTGACTAGTTCAGGACCGTTACAGTCCAGCTCCGTTCCTGGTCTCCTGTTCCGGCGCACACCCCCTCTGTGCACTCAAAAGGACTGGGGTGGGGTTCTGTTCCTTACAGCCCCAGCCCTGTCAAGTCTACCCTCTGCTCTGCCCCCACCTCCCTCAAAAAGAAGTCAGTCTCCAGGAGGCCAGCAGATTTTGCAGTATTTTTAATGCACAAAACAGAAGAGGCCAGCTAAGTGACCGGTTTTCATTCCAAACCCAGAGCTCTCAAGTACAGACACAGACCGACTGGGAATAAGTTACAGTTCACAGTGCCTTAGAGCTGAGGGCAGGAAATGCTATTCAGCAGGCTGCCAAGGTAGTGAGGATTTTCTAACGACGAAAGGGTGAAAATAAACGCTTCTGAAGTTCAAGAGAAACCCAGCCTTCAGGAAAGAAGGTGAAGTGGCTGAGGGCAGCACAGAGCCAGGCAGTGCTCAGCAGAAATCCAGCCTGCTCTGTAGGAAGCCAGTAAGGGCAGGTGGCGCAAGTACCCCCTTTCTGCAGGGTTTCCCTCACACACTGCATCATCTCTGTGATCCCCTCAGGTTCCTCAAACACTGGCACTCCAGAGAAGCAGCCGGTGATACAGGACAGTTCTCTGACTTCTCCTGGGCTCAGCGGCTATCACTGCACCTCCTACCCTCACCCAGGCTTTTCAGTGCACATATACCTTCGGCTGCTCCATGGCCTGGTGCGCCTGCAGCACTGCCACCGCCTCTTCTATCT